CGGCCGGTGGCAGGAGGGCGGCGGCGGCCGAGGTCGAGGGCCCGGAACGCCGACCAGGTAAGCGGCAATGTGGCGTCTCCCGCCTCCGCCCCTCCCCCGCCCGTGCTCCCACTTGTCAGCGCAGGCTGGGCTGCGGGGACGCTGGTGACAGGGCCGCTGCCGCCCCGCCGGCCCTGTCCTCCGCTCGGATCTCCCGCTCCTCGGCGTCTCGCTCCTTCCTGCTCCTCCGGCCCCGCTCCCGCGCTCGGCCGTTATTCTCCCCCATTGTGCCGAGGAAACAAGATGGCGGCGGCAGTGCCCCTGTGCGCGCGCATCCGTTCTCCCCCTTCGTGGCCCCCTCGGCCAGGGCCGCGGCGCCGCTCTCGGGGGGGTGCGCACGCACTGCGATGTCCCCCGCTCCCCGGGCCGCTTGCTCTCCCCTAGGCCCGGCTTTTGTCTGTTGCTTGGGCCCCGCGCACGCGCGCACGTGTTGGAGCACACACCCCCTCACATCCCGGGCCTCCCGGCGGGCGCACCAGGGTCGCTCCCCTTCCTTTAACCGCTTTCTCTCCTCGTCAAGCCACATCCCTGGTCTCCAGGAGCATGACAGGTTCATCCCAGTTCCCAAGGCGGGAAACAGCTCTCCTTTGTCTCGAGCTCGGTCCTCTCCCTAGACCATGGTTGCGGGAAGCATTTATGGATTCACTGGGTCCTTAAAGCCCGGATCTGTAGGTTTCCTCCAGATCCAGACCCAAACTTAAGACCGTCCTTCTAGCCCGGGTGGTTTTCATTGATGGTGTTTCTCGGGTGGTTCAGGTTCTGCCTCCAGTCTCCAAAACGGTGATGTGGTTGGTGTTGGGGACTCTGATCTTCAGGATTGGCATGCTTGAAGTCTTTCGAACGTGCGTGCTTTAAATTTTCTTTATTAAAGTAGTTGAGTGATGAGAATTCACCTTAGGTTATTCCACAATTCGGATAAGCCATTTGGAGTTTATAACGGTCTATTTGATTCCCCCATTACGAATCCAAACTGGGAAGAGTAAGCCATCTCTTAGTAAAATTGCTGGTAAGTTGCTGCTTAGGACACGTGGTGGATCAGCACAGAGGCTTTAGTTTCTGTCCGTGATATGCTTCGCTGTTGGGATTCGAGTATTCTGGAAGTATCTTTCTGGTTCAAAGTTGTGTTGTATTTAAAGTGTTCTGTATGATGATGTGTCTTCAGAAAAAGGAGGTGTTATTCAAAGTTAGGATTCGTGTTTAGGGCTTCCCCGGTGTCTTTCCCGCAGGTTCTTGTGGATGGGACTTTGTGGACTGACCAGAGTTGTACCACACTGTTCTTTGAGTCAGTCACTCAGCCTGAGAATAAAGTGTGGGGAACCACAGCTTCAAAAGAGAAAGGCCACTAGTAGATGCTGCTACTCTTGTCTAGTAATGCTGAGGGGCTTTGCCCCTTAGCGTGCATTGTGGGTAGCTCCTGGTCACTGAGACTTCTGCAGGCACTGTGTATTGGCTGGAAGTCTGCAGTCCAGATGGGAGGCTGGTCATGAGTGCAAGACTGGCTTTGGCAGCACTGGGTGCTGTATCAGCCTCTCTGCTTCGAGTGTGGACTAGTGTGGGGATCCCCTCCTTAGGGAGCTGGAAAGTGCCTGATTGTTTTCAGTTTTTCTGATGGATACCTGTAAACAAAAGTTCTTTTGTCTCCTTTTAGTAGTTTTCTAGACTAGTTTAACTGTGAATAAACTGTGCCATTTCTTATTTTTCTCAAATTCTTCTGATCTCAAAGTCTTACAAGAATACTTGCTCAAGTTTCTCACTTTTTTTTCCTTTTTTTTTTTTTTTTTTTTTGCCAGACAGGGTTTCTCTGTGTAGCCTTGGCTATCCTGGAACTCACTCTGTAGACTAGGCTGGCCTCGAACTACAGAGATCTTCTGCCTCTTATCTCCTGAGTGCTGGGATTAAAGGTGTGTTTTCACCACCGTCAGCTTTTCTTTCATTTTTGAAGTAGTGGCTCACTATGTAACCCAGGCTGGCCTTGATTTTGGAATCCTTCTGCCTCAACCCAGGCTGGAATTATATTTGTATGCCACCACATCAGGGTCTCCGCCATCCCCAGCATTTTGCTCTATGGAGAAGGCATCCAGGCATGGTGAGGATCTGTTGGAGGAGTAAGGTGTAGATGTGAGTTAGAAGAACATTTCTTTGGACAAGGTCCCTTTTAACCCTTGGAGATCCACCTGTCTCTGCTTATTGAGTGCTGGGATCAAAGGTGTGTATCATCACGTGTGGCTAGAAGTTCTCTCTGAACTGGGACAGCTTTACCTGTGCTCTCACAAGGAAGTCCAGACTGGTCTCAAAGTGCTTTAAGCCGAGTGCTGGGATTACAGGCTGTGCCAGTATGCCTTTATTGATTTCCTTGTTATTTTTCTTCTTATTATTATTTTGGTTTTTTGAGACAGGGTTTCTCTGTGTAGCTTTGTGCCTTTCCTGGAACTCACTCTATAGCCCAGGTTTGCCTTGAACACACAGAGATCCGCCTGCCTCTGCCTCCCGAGTGCTGGGTGTGCCACCACCGCCCAGATTTTTTTTTTAAAGATTTATTTATTCATTATGTATACAGTGTTCTGCGTGCATGTATGCGTGCAGGCCCGAAGAGGGCACCAGATCTCATTACAGATGGTTGTGAGCCATCATGTGGTTGCTGGGAATTGAACTCAGGACTTCTGGAAGAACAGCTAGTGCTCTTAACCGTTGAGCCATCTCTCCAGCCCCAGGAAGTGGTTCTTATCCTGAAGAAATAAATGTAGATTTCTCTTTCTCTTGCTTATGCTGCCTTTTTTTTTTTTTTTGGAGACAGGGTTTTTCTGTGTAGCCCTGGCTACCCTGAAACTCACTCTGTAGATCAGGCTGGCCTCCAACTACAGCGATCCTCCTGCCTCAGCATTCCTAGGGCTGGGATTATAGGCGTGCACCGCTACTGCTGGCTAACACACTCTGCTACTTTTTTATTGTAAGCGATACATTTACTTGCTTAGAGTCAGGATCTGCTACATAATACCCAGTTCTTGATTACTTGAGCCATTCTGAAAGATGGGTAATCTCATCATTAAGTATATATGTATGGCCCATTAACTTGTGACTTCTGCCCCTATTCAGGGTCTCTCTAGGTAACCCTGGCTGTCCTGGAGCTCATCCTATAGACCAGGCTGGCCTCAAACTCAAGAGATCCACCTGCCTCTGCCTCCAAGTGCTGGGATTAAGGGCGTGGTCCAACTCTGCCCTGCTTAATTTTTCTTTCTGAAACAGGTCATGTGTTGTAGTCCAGGTTAGCCTAGATTCAGGCCCCTGGTTTAGACTTTATAGTGGTTGGGCTGCCACCCTGCGGGTGATTGAGTATTTTTTGTTTCTTTGGTTTTGTTTTGTTTTTTAAAACAAAATCTCAATTGTTTGATTTTACCAATAAAGACTCGAGGAGCCAGATGCTGGAGTGAGAGCCTGCCAGCTCAGAGAGGCAG